TGAATGGTCTCACGAGCTACCGTGGCCTTCAGGGTTCTCTCTTGGACTTCAGGGGCCATGTTGAGATCTGAAGGGAGCTGAAACCCAAGCGGGCACGCCCGAGATGCACTTCTTCCTCTTCCGGGAGCACGTCCCAAGTCAGAATATCACACTCCCGGGGCGCACTTTCTTCGAGCGGGCACACAAAGGATGCACTTCCTCCTTCTCCTCCTCCTCCTCCTCCTCCTCTTCCTCCTCCTCCTCCTCCTCCTTCTCCTCCTCCTCCTCATCCTCCTCCTTCTCCTCCTGCTCCTCCTCTTTCTCCTCCTCCTCCTCCTCCTCCTCCTCCTCCTCCTCCTCATTCTCCGCTTCCTCCCCCACTCCTAACCCTTTCGATCAGGGCCGGCCTCTCCAATAACAAAAACGAAAAATCTCATATATATATATATATAACAACAACGGCGACGAAGACAACGACGACATCGACGACAACGACGACAACAGCAACAGCAACAGCAACAGCAACAACAACAGCAACAGCAACAGCAACAGCAACAGCAACAGCAACAGCAACAGTAACAACAACAACAACAACAACAACAACAACAACAACAACAACAACAACAACAATCATTTTACCCGAACGCGTGGTGTTCTCCCCAGTGCCAGGGTTTTCATACGACACCAGGCAATACCCCCACTTCGTGGGGGGGCATTACAAGCTCTACCAAATATCCAAACGACTCTTCGCGACCACCCAAACCCAGCTTCCCGCCCTATGACGTTGGGACACTTCACTTCGTGGCGTGCGGACGACCGTGGCTACTACACTGGCGTGGGGTACACACCCACAGAACTTGGTCACTTATTCGGGGCGCGCATGTGCCCAGCATGGTGCAATTGTGCCATACAATACATAATACAGAGAGACAGAGAGAGAGACAGAGAGCAGACAGAGAGAGAGACAGAGAGAGCGGAGTTGGTCACATTTTTGGGTCAAGTTCCTGGGATGATGGGAATACACAACTCTGTTACATTTGATAGTGTGCACGACACACATGAGATGATACGTACTCGCAAGATAGTTGGTCACATTTGTGGAATTCCTGGGCGGATGTGGGGATACACAAATACCTTTGTTACCAGTGCTAGACATGGTACAGACACTGAGAGAGAGAAGGCGAGACAGAGGAAGAGAGCGGGAGAGAGAGAGACAAAGAGAGAGAGACAGAGAGAGAGGAGTTCGTCACATTTTTTAATCAAATTCCTGTGCCGAAGTGGGAATACGCAAAGGCATCAGTTGCATATGACCCGTAGGGTACATGGTACACATGATCATGGTACGTACGCACAAGATGGTTGATCACATCTTTAGGGCAAATTCCTGAGGGATGTGGGAATACACAAGAGAGAGAGACGATATGGTTTTCCCGATGGTTGTCTCGATGGTTGTCCCGATGGTTGTCCTGATGATCGTGGTTGTCCCGATCGTCGTCCCCGTGGCTGTCCCGATCGTCGTTTTGGAGATTTCGGCGTGCGCGCGCAAAAAACGAATGTGTCCCGCATGGTATTATTTGACAGGGATGATGGCCCTGGCAGGTGCGCAACCGTTGTCGCAGAAGTTCGAAAAAGTTGCTCGCAAAAGCCCGTTTGACAGAAATGTTTAAAAAGTGTTGGTTTTCCTACGAATCCGCAAGAGCGCGCGGGATGAGATTTTGACATTTTTTTGTTGAAAAACCATTGGTTTTTTGATGTTTTTATGTTAAAATCGCTCCGAACACTAAGCTTTTGGAAGGATTTCGTCTTGCGCGCGCGAATGTCCACTTTACCTTATTTTTTGCAAGGGATTCTTGAAATTTGATTATATTAGAACAAGAAATGTCATTTTATAGTGTTTTTTGCAAGGGAAAACGGATTACAACAAAACAACCGGATCTGGACCCCATCCACTTTTCTGAAGCTTTCGCGAAAAAATGATGAAAATGTAGCTGCGGCCTAGGCGCGGCGGGGGGGCCGTGCACCAGGGGTCCCAACAATAATTATTCTTTAGAATTAATAATGTTCAACAACAACAACAACAATAACAACACTACTACTACTACTACTACTACTACTACTACTACTACGACTACTACGACTACTACTACTACTACTACTACTACTACTACTACTACTACTACTACTACTACTACTACTACTACTACTACTACTACTACTACTACTACTACTACTACTACTACTACTACTACTACTACTACTACTACTACTACTACTACTACTACTACTACGGCATCATGGTACAGAAAATTCTGTTTGGGCTAGAGGGCAGTGGGGCCATAGGGCCATACGGCCATAGGGCTATAGGTCTACAAGGCGACAGGGCTATAGGGTTACATGGCCATAGGGCTATAGGGCTGTAGGGCTGTAGGGCTATCGGCCTATGGGGCTATGGGCCTATGGAGCTATAGGGCTATAGAGCTATAGGGCTACAGGGCTGTAGGGCTACAGGGCTACAGGGCTGTAGGACTATAGGCATATATAGAGCTATAGGGCTATAGCGCTATAGGGCTATAGGGATATAGGGCTATAAAGCGATTGGGCCATAGGGCTATAGGGCTAGTGGGTTACAAGGTTATGGGGCTATAGGGCTACAGGGCTATAAGGCCTATAGGGCTATAGGGCTATAGGGCTAGAGGGCTATGGGGCTATAAGGCTATAGGGCTATAGGTCTTCAGGACTATTGGGCTATAGGTCTATAGGGCTATGGGGTTATGGGGCTATGGGGTTATAGGGCTATAGGGCTGTAAATCTATAGGGCTGTAAGGCTATAGGGCTATAAGGCACCAGGGCACCCAGCCACCTGAACACCCAGGCACCTGGGCACCCGGGCACCCGGGCGGGCCGCGAAAATCGGCGGCAAGCCTCACCAGACCGTGTAAATCCGCTAGGACCCTACAGAGGCAAGCTCTGATTGGAAATGATTCCACATAATCAGCATCGTCGTCACCATCATCATCATCAGCAGCAGCATCACCACCATCAGCAACATCATCACCATCATCAGCAGGAGCAGCACCACTCGACTCTCCTCCTCTCCCTCCGCCCCGTGCCTCCTCCTCCTGCATCCCTCCTTCCCTCCTCCTCCTTCTCATCATCACAAGCATCCTAATCCTCAGAATCAGAGTCATCATCCTCATCATCATCAGCATCAACATCATTGTCGTCAACATCATCAGCATCACCACAAACACCACCTCCACCACCACCATCATCATAAGTGTCGTCATCAGCAGCATCATCACCATCACCATCACTATCACCATCATCATCAGCAGCATCCTCATCATCGTCATGTAGTCAGCATCAACAGCATCATCATAACCAATCATCATCATCATCAACATCACCAGCATCATCAGCATCAGCAGCAGCATCATCATGATCAGCGACATAATCAGCAGCTTTACCACCGTCATCCTCATCATCCTCGTCATCACCATCACCATCACCATCATCATCATCATCATCATCATCATCATCATCAGCAGCATCATCATCATCATCATCATCATCATCATCATCATCATCATCATCATCATCATCATCATCATCATCATCATCATCATCATCATCATCATCATCATCATCATCATCATCATCATCATCATCATCATCATCATCATCATCATCATCATCATCATCATCATCATCATCATCATCATCATCATCATCATCATCATCATCATCATCATCATCATCATCATCATCATCATCATCATCATCATCATCATCATCATCATCATCATCATCATCATCATCATCATCATCATCGGATTCATATTCATCATCATCATCATAATCATCAGCGGCATCCTCAGCATAATCAGCAACATCCTAATCACCACCACCACCACCACCATCATCATCATCATCATCATCATCATCATCATCATCATCATCATCGTCATCGTCATCAGCAGCATCAGCAGCAGCACCATCACCATCACCACCATCATCATCAGCAGCAGAACCATCATCATCATCATCATCATCATCATCAGCAGCAGCATCATCATCATCATCAGCGTAATCAGCAGTAACATCACCATCAGCATCATCACCATCATCAGCATCGTCATCCATCATCATCATCATCATCATCATCATCATCATCATCATCATCATCGTCATCGTCATCATCATCAACAGCAGCAGCATCGTCATCATCATCATCACCACCACCGCCACCACCACAAACACCACCGCCCCCACCAACACCATGAACGACATCATCCTCATCATCATCATCATCATCATCATCATCATCATCCTCATCCTCATCATCATCATCAGCCAGCATCATCATCGTCAGCACCATCATCATCGTCATCATCATCATCAACAGCAGCATCATTATCATGCGTAGCTCCTCCTCCTCCTCCCCCTCCCTCCTCCATCCCTCCTCCGCGTCCTCCTCCTGCAATCCTCCAATCATCCCCCTCCGATCCTTGGAGAAGATGCCCCTCTGGTCGGCCCGCCTCGCGCTCCGAGTCCACCTGTGGAGGTGCACTCGAGGATGGGCTCCGCGGAAAACGCCCCGCTGCCCCTTCTAGACGGCGTGATGGTCAAAATGCTTGAACGCTATCGACACTCCGGCGGGCCTCTGAGGGGCCTCCAGCGGCCTCCGGCGGGCCTCCGAGGGGCCTATGAGGGGCGTCCAAGAACCTCTACAGCCAACCCGTACCACAAGGACGCACGATCAGGATAGGAGGACCTTGGAGGGCCATGTCGACACTTTGCGGGAGGGGCACGGAGCGAAAGCGGCCAAGAATGGGCCGCAGGGAAGGATGCGAGGGTAATCTTAAAAAGTCGCTCAGCCTTACTATGCGGGTTGACAGTGCGGGCACTGCGAGCCCAATCCCTTCTGAGATGCCCGATGCCTTCTTGCAGGGTGGCCGGGGGCGATCCTCCAAAAGTGCCGCGCGGGTCGCAGAGAGCGCGGGTCGAGACCTGTGATAATCCTCGGTCGCTTCTGGCCAGAAGGCCTCCGTGCTGGGACACCTCATGGGCTCCGTGGGTCCGACCTCTGCGGCCCCCTGCCTCCTTCCGGGAGGTGGGCGGCGCACCGACACCCCTCCTGGGCCTTTGGTCAGGACCGGTGTCTGTGCTGGGTGTGCAGTCGGCGCCCTCTGGGCATTGGAGGGCCGCCAGATCTCGCAGTGCCCCCTTCGCCGAGCCGCCCACCGGCCGCCTGCTGACGTTCTCCCAGCCCTCCTCGCCGCTCCGGGCGCCGAACGACCTCCGGGGGCTTGCTCCCAGGGCACCCCTGGCCCAGGGTGCCCGCAGCTTCTCCCTCGATCCTGGAGCCCCCCGGGGCCCTCGGGGCCTCCAGGGGGGGGGTGCTCTCCGGAGGCCGTGGCGGCCTCCCTGGGAGTCCTGGGGGGCACCCTGGGGCCGGGGGCCCTTCAGGCAGCACCCGAGACGTGAGGCGGGAGTAGAAGTGCGACCCGAACAGGTGGACGCGCCCGGCGCCGAACCTCGGGGGAGGAAAAGCGCTTCCCGAGCCGACGGGGCGCGGCCGATGCCGGCCGAGAGGCCGCGGGCCAGAAGCCGAGGCGGGGGCCCGAGCGACGCGGCCGACGACGGAGCGAGCCGACCGAAAGCAGGCGACTGCGACGCCGCCGACCGAGCCGAACTCGGGAGCGGCAAAGAGGGGGGCGTCCAAGAGGGGGGGTGCAAATCATGACCGGCGGGGGGGCCAGGGACGTAATGAAATAAGAAGAGGCGCCATGAGATCTGGGGAAATATCATGGCCCACGCCATGATATCCACCCCCCCCTAGTCATCACCCCCCTCTTTTCCGCCCCCGACGAACCACGGACACCCGTCTCCGCCACCGGTGTCCCGTGGCACGTTGAGGCGCGGCAGCATGCCAAGCGCTGTCCAGCAGGGTCCCTGTAAGTCTTCTGAGAAACCCGCTCCCCCACGCACCGCGCACCACATCCACTGGCGTGCACAGCCCATCCCCCCCCCCAAAAAACACTGAACACGGTGAAAACAATGGATCCGCGTTGATCCGCGATCCCTCGCCACAACCCCTCGAAAACAACCATGGATCCGCGCTCCCGAGGCCACGATACCTCAAAAAAATGGCTCGCGTTCCCGAACTTCCAAGACGGCCCATGCAGGCAACCAAAGCCGCCAAGATGTCTCAAGTGCATCAAAGAAGATCCAAGATGGCCCCAAGGAGGCCAAAGATAGCCTCCAGACGGCGCCAGAAGCCCCCAAGACGGCGCAACAAAGTCACAGAAGGACCCCCGGCAGAGCCCAGAGACGCCTAAATCGTCGTTTCGGGTATCCTTCAGCTCCAGGCGGCCCTAGTTCCAAGATGGTCCCAAAACGTCACAGGAGGGCCCAAAAATGGCCCAGTAATCCTCCAAGACAGCCTCAAGGCAGCCCAGCAGGCCAAGTAGACAAGCCAAGACGGCCCCGAAAGAGCGCCAAGCTGGCCCAGGAGGGCTCCTGGAAGAACAGGATGGCCCCACGACGGCCGCAACAGGCCCCTCAGACGGCCAAGACGGCCATATGACGGCCCAAGAAAGCCCCATTGGCACAAGACGGCCCCAAGACGGCCCAAAGTGGCCCAAGAAGCCACCAAGACTGCCCACAGGAACTCAAGACACTCCCAAAATGGCCAAAACAAGCTGTAGTGATTATGCTCCTCCTCCTCCTCCTCCTCCTCCTCCTCCTCCTCTCCTCCTCCTCTCCTCCTCCTCCTCCTCCCTCCTCATCATCATCATCATCATCATCATCATCATCATCATCATCATCATCATCATCATCATCATCATCATCATCATCATCATCATCATCATCATCATCATCATCATCAATCATCATCATCATCATCATCATCATCATCAGCATCATCAGCATCATCAGCATCATCATCATCAGCATCAGCATCATCATCATCATCATCAGCATCATCAGCATCATCATCACCAGCATCATCATGGTATGCATCCAGGTCGTCTGCCACAAACACGCCCTGAGGTGTCATCATCAGTCACCGTGCCGCGAGGCAAGAACTGAACAGCCGCTGCATGCATAGAGGTAGGCGGCCAGGTGGCCTTTCCCCTCATCATCAAATGTCAATTCGACGGAGAACAATAAGGTCGCGGCCGCAGAGCCGCGCGCCGTGCTGGTGCCGCCCGTCAGCCTGCATCCGGGGGTCTTCCTGGGACCGGGGCGCCTCGCGAGTCGTCGCGCTGCTCGGCCGTGGCCTCGCACGCTGCAACGCCCAGGCAGGAGGCAGCCTGCGATCTGCATCTGCGCTCGCCGCACGGGGCTTGGGTAAGCATGGAGCGCGACCCAGCCGGTCTTGGAGGTGATCCGCGGCCGGCGGGCCCACCACTCCTGGGCGATTCTGGAAGCAGCCACGAGCCTAACGCGCTCGCCGCCGAAGCGGGCGCACTGCGAACTCGGCCCACCCGTGGCGAGCCGACGCCTGCGCCACCG